GCAGATGGACCAAATACACTGCTGAGGGCAGCAGCTGATGAGACAGGAGAGGTCTGCTGAGCCATGTGGGTCACTTCCAGAGCTGGGGATTGAACTGCCATTGAAGTGGCTGCAGCTAACTGGCAGTGCTGCATCTTAACCCATTGTCCATTTTTTATTTTCAAAGATGGTCTCAGTGATTTCTCTGCAGAAATAGCAGCAGTTATCCATATAATAAAATACTAACTCAATATTTCTCCCTTGATTCGTGGTACTACTTAAGATTCATCCCATTTTCTGATAATACTGTGCTTTTTATAACTTTCTCAACTATAGTGAAGTAAAAAAGAGAAAATGTACTAAATTGATGTCACTACTGTGGCAAACAATTTTCAAAATAGACTTGCACATTTATCTCAACTATAGCCTGAAGCGGAACAGACGGAACTCTCGGGTTCTCTAAGTTCACCCCACAATTTGTGGCTCTGACAGTAGTAATATGGCGTTTTCAAGCTTCCATCTTACCAAAGTAAAAAGTTTTCATCTTTATAAAGGAGACAGATTGGTAAAGCACAGACATGGGCTTTTAGTGGTGAAACTTTGGGTAGTCTATACACACGTTGATTGTCAATGATACACACCTGAATCATATTTCATTTACAATGCATTCATTTATAATGTAATGTTATTTCAATTAAAAATAATTTAGAAAAAAGAGAAAACAATTTAGTTAAAACATGCTCTTTAAATAAATGTAAGAGAAGTGTGATTTTTACCTATGTAATACAGATACACCCCTTGGTCTTCCAAGATTATTTACTTATTTAAAACTTCTTTAGAGTAATAAAACTTCTCATTCTCTCTATCAGCATCTAGATCTATACTATTCAACATAGTTATTGATAGTTGGGACCTTGAGCTAATTAAATGCAAATGTAAATTAATTAAAAATAAATAATAAACAAAATTTCTTCACACCATTTACATTCTGTTATACAGCCTTCTGCACTTACCACATGAATAACACAGTTCTAGAACATTCCATCACGACACATAAAAAATTAGTGATGGGCATTATTAGCTTTAGATAGTTGGATCTCAAAAACATATTGGTCAAATGAAGTGCTATGAGATTTCTGCAAAGTGAAGACCATAAATTGCTACTGAGAAAGTTCTAATCAGATAAGAGATTTCTGGGAATTGATCCCTACCATAAACTCTAAGGATATAAGGCACTACCCACCCTTAGGCCCAGGCCAAGGAAACACTGCCATGGGCTCTGAATTTTAGAAGACTCAATTCAGCTCACCTTTGCAAGGCGTGAAATATCTCTAGGGTAAATGGATGTGGACCCCACAAAGCCTGTTCCTTTCTACTTTTAAACCTTGTTCAGGGTACCCAGAAACCTGGAATTCACAGATTTAAAATTGTTACAGGGTACCCCAATGTGAACTGGGTTGCCTGTCCGTGGGTGCTTACCCATGCGCTTACGATTCCATCCTATTATGGACACACTCAAAAAGGTTAAATAAAGGATTTATTTATAAGGAGAATGGTAAAGGAATAACCCAGGTAAAGAGGGAGAGAAATACAAGTTAACTAGAATGTCCTACCAGTTCTGCTGACTTGCACTCCACCAGCTCGCTGAAAACCAATCCAAGGACCAGGCCAAGAGACCCCCAGAGCCCACATGTCCGGTTTTATCCCAACCTGGCTGCTCAGCTCCGCCCTCCCGTCCCAGCGTGCTTCTCCTTGTTATTGATGGGATTAGTAGTTCCAGTATCTGGAGTGGGGGCGAGTTCATGAAACCTGTACCTGCTGGAAAATTCTCCAGTTTACTTTCAATTAGTGAGTAGGTCTCTTCATGGAAATGCCCCTCTAGAGGTAAACAAATGGTGTGTGAACCTCTAGGCCAGAGTCACCACCAAGGGATGGCCATTTAAAGGTGTAGCTTACTGGGGGGGTGGGGTTTGGGGCCGACACTGGCACAGAAAGCCCTCTTGCTTAGGAATGAAGCAGGTCCAGTAACAAAGTACATAGCAGCCTCAATTTGAGCTGGGACTGTGGCTCTCCTCCTGCCGTGTTTCAGGCGGAATCCACGGTTATCTGGGAAGAATGTATACACACCTGGCCTTCCAGGTTCTTATTAAGATATATTTCTCAAGGCAGGTGAATAGAACATTTTATTTGCTGGCTTGATATATACCTTGTAAATATTTAAACACAGGGTAAGCTCTAGTCTTGCAAAAGTTAGGGCGGAGCTGGCAGCCTTCTGCAGAAGAGTAATTGATTCAGTTGAGGTTTCTTGGCCAGTTACATTTCCGACTGATTTCACTGGCTGTATCTAAGGTATCTTTGGATGTCAGAGAGACATTCATTCAACAGGTTGCTGGTCCTGGCTCAGCTGGGCCTGGGGATTCTTTCCGGGGACCTTATCTGGAGTTGCTAAAGGCCATACAGTTCTAGAGAGTCCTCTTGCCAGGAGAGAACCTGTTCTTAGCTGTGGTGTCTTTGGGACCAATGAGTCCCCATGCTCCAAGAGTCTTGCAGTTCCTCTGGTGTAGTGCGAGGGTGAGGCAGCCCGTAAGTGTAGAGGTGGGAAGGCCACTCCTTTCATTACAGGTGGTTTGGGGGGCACTTTCCCTGTTCGGCTGACCATGACGGTCTACCCAGCTTTTATGGCCGGTTCTAGGGTCCAGGCCAGGAGCCTCAGGCTTCTAACAGGGTCTAGCAGAGTGGCTTTGTCTGGAGGGCGGTGGCAAAGCTTGACGACTGGCCACCCTGCCTGGCCTGTGGGCTAGAACTTTACAACGCCCTCTCGTGAGTGCTCTCAAGCCCACCGGCTCCTACAACTTTGGACGGAGGCCGGGTCCGGCCAGCGCCGGCTGGGGTCCGGCCCTCCGCGGGCGACACAGGTCCGGGAGCG